CTCTTTTTTCTATCCTTCTCCCCACGTTTTACTCTCTCTCCCTCCTTTCTTATCCTTTTTTCTCATTCCCTGTGTAAATTCTGTTATTGTTGTTTTACTTCATGCATCTGCTTTTGCAGTCATAAAGGTGTGTGTGGGTAAAGATTCACTGACTGAGTCATCATCCTGAGTTGCTTGATTTCAGAAAGTCAGAGTAGTGATATAAAGAAAACTATTCAAGTTATTTGAAGAGATTGGGAAGAGTATTTTAAATATGGGAAATATGGGAGAATTGCTCACTGTGTTTGCAGAGTGGGTTGACAACAATGGCTAAGGTAGAAGTCAACTAAATGGTGGTGAAAAGATCAGTGTGTGTAGGGAAGTCATAGATTAGAAAAAATGTGGAGCAGATGGTGGCAGCTTTTGTGACGTGAGTCTTTGTGCTTTTCATTCTCCATCTCCAACATAGAACACTGTGATGTTCTAGACTCCTTGTACCTCACAAATTGACTCTGTCATCTAGAATGAAGAAAGGGATACTGAAGACATTTTCAAAATGAAAGCTTTCCAGGCCAAAGAATTTCCCCCACCTCCCTGAACTAAGATTGCCTGATGTCCTTTCAGGTACTGTACACCAGATCTTTCCACTCTTATTCTGAACTAGATTTTTGTGTTTGGTGTATTTTTGTTTGTTTGGTTTTTTTATTCTGGACTCCATCATGATAGCTCCTACTTATTTTAGTTTTGTTTTACATATGCACTGAATTCCTTATTCTAGAAAAATTAAAGGTGGAAAAGGGTGAAACTTAACATGAACCATAAGAGTTTAGCTCAGTCTAATCACAAATTCTAGATAACCATATTCCTAAATAATCTATCACCACTCTGTTAACACAGATCTCCTCCAAACCTATAAACTTTCAAGATGCTTGGGCTGAAAGGCCTGATTAAAATTCTACTTAATTGTCACGGTTCTCATAATTTAATCCTACCCTATCTACCTCCTTTCATTTCTGATTACTTAAAACAACAACAGAAACAAACCTTCCAGTTAGGCTACATTACACACCATACTGTAAGACCCAGCTAAACTCCACATTCTCAGGAAACATTCCTCCAGGCCTCACTGACATCTCTAGACAATGGGTCCTACATCATCTTTTATCTTCCATTTTTAATTGTGTACAGAAACAAGTGCAACAGTTCCCTGAGTTCCTCATTGTTTTCCCAAGTTCTTGGGTTGAATCTATGGGTGAACATGATAATATTTAGAGGAGAGGTAAATTAAAAGATAGCTGCTCCTCCAACTTTCTCCCATGACTGACAACTGAGTTAATTTTAGTTCAAGTCTTTATGAATGCGAATCTCACCAATATGGAAATATTTTATCACCTTTAAATCATTTGTGTTTTTGTATAAATGAGGAAATTGAGGCTCCAAGAACTGATGTGATTCACCTAACATATTAGTGAGAATTTGATATATTGTTTCCTTTAACAGTCACTCCCATTTCCCTCACCACATTTACCAGCTCCACTTTGGTTTTTGGACAGAAGTCATCATGTCTTGTGCATTTACTGCGTTCACAATAGCACCTTCTCTTCAGTCTTCTCTTGTTTCTCATAAAGGATCAAGAACGGGGCTGGATTGAATTGAACCCCTGAAGAACGTGGACTATTTAGAGGCACAGAGAGTGGCCTCTGGGTGAATATTTGCCTCACATTGGCCACTTAGTAGTGAACAGCAATGCGCCGAAGGACACACGCCAAGTGAGTAGTCTTGTTTGCCCAACTAAACGATAAATACCATCTTATACGAACTTACTTTGTAGCCCATATGCTTTGGACAGTGCTGGTCACAGACTACACCTTCATTAAAAATGTTTTAATTGATTCACTGTCCTCAGAACAAAAGCCATGTTCTGTGTTTCTTGTAGCAGTAAAAATACTTTTTGCCAAGAGAAGACTGCCAGCTGTCCAAGATGGGCACTGCTGGATTGAAAGGCATTTTTCAGTGAGTTCTATGCTTCAAATTGAAACCCTTGTGCTACCTTTTAGAAAAGTATGCAATAAAGATTACATTATTATTGGATGAGGAAATAGAACATATCAAAATGGTGTCAACTTCGAGATGTTAAATGGGGATGAATTAATTTTGATTTATCCATAATGTGTCACCTGGTCCCCTTGGGGCTAATTTTCAACAACTGTAGCCTGAGTTAATGGGGTAGCTGGTACCCAAAAAATAGGGGATGCTCGCCATCCTGGAACGGGATTTTAGCCTGGATTGGGGATTATTTGTACCATGCTATAGCCAGTAGACCTACCAGTGATATTGTCTGGGTAATTCTACATTTATTACTTTCATCCTTATACTACCACCTTCACTTTTAAAAGAGTGAGGTCTAATTGTGGGTCCCTATTTAATTTGAGTTAGTTTAACCCCCAGCTGGATCAGTTTCCAAGGAACAATCAGACTGCTTCATCAATCACCCAACCTTACTGAGGAGCATCATTCACTATGTTCATGCAGTAAATAATTTTAGTAAGAGTCAATGAAGGAACCAAAAATACTTCATTACTAAATATTACTTCTAATATTTCTCCCTCTTTTTTTCCCCAAAGAGGACTGGCTATCTTTGGTAAGATGAAAGTAGAGTATAAAAATATTTTCTATCCCTGATTATTTTTACTACCCTATCTCTAGGAAGAGAAACTTAGATGTGTTTAGGAAAATAAGGGAGCCAGTGATCCCAGAATCATCAAAGTTAGAAATAGAGTTGTGAAGTTCTACTAACTATATTCCTTCTCATGGAATCATTGTCTAATCATGAATGAAGACAGAGCTATTTCTATTTGGAGAAGAGTTGGCAGGTGGGCATTCAAAATACTTAAAGGGGTAATGGAGGTTCACTTGCCCAAACGAATTTCCTGAAGTGGTCTATGTGAACACTTCTTAAGTGTCATAAAACTCTGACTTTAGAAGAAATCAACTCATCGATAGCAACATATCTCCAAGAGGTTCCACTTGCTTAACTCTCCAAACTGAGGTTTTGCTTTTCTCCAGGATTCAGGTGCATGATAAATTCTATTCGTTGCTCCCTTGCATTTTCAATTTGTGTCCCCTAAGTTTTTTTTTTTAAGTGAGGTTTCCAAACATTATTGAGGGAGATTGAGAACATGCAGCAAGAGACTCTGAATGAGAAAATATAATTGGATGTTCTGCCTCTCTTTCAGGATTCATTATGAACTGTCAAAAATTCCAGGAACTTCTAGCCCAGTTGTTGACAATGATGAAGTAAGCAAATGTTCATTTGTCATCTTTTTTTGGGAATTGTTCAGATGGCTTTTATGAATAGGGCCTCACCAACTTCCTATTGAAAAACGAAGTGTCAAGATTAATTAGAGTGCAAAGTTGATTTAGCTAAATTTTGAAAGGGGAATAGAAATGTAGAGAAGGTAAGTGAGGATTCAAAATCCAGGGATCAGAAAACTACCTTACTATGTAAGGGGATGTGCACCCTGACTGGCCTAGATTTTTTGGCCACCTCTTGCATCAGGCCTGTTTCCCCAGGTTTATCATATTCAAGTGGATTTCCCAGGTCAACTTATATTTTATCAGCCAGAAGTAATGCAACCCAATATAACAAAACTAAAAACGTATTCCAGTTTTGAAACTTTTGATTAACTCTACCAACTACTGACAATTAATTTGGAACTGAGATTCAATAGCCTGGAAAAAATTCAGGAGGTAAAACATTTCCCTAGAGCTTTTGCTTCTAAAATTTATTTTTAAAAACTTGAAAAAGAAAAATCTTGCCATCTTCTCCTAAATAAAATTTTCCTAGATTTCTGTGATTCTAAATATATATGTCATATCTGTGAGACAGCTTTTTTTTTTTGTATTGAACAAAGGAACTTCAGTTTTCCAGAAAGTATTACAAATTAAATGATTCTGTCTTTGGATTTGTGCCATGCTTCATTTTGCTCTCAGCGAAGGAATGTATGGTGTGCCTCTGTTAGTCCTTCTCCTGGTCTCCCCTGGCCCACCCCACCCCACCTCTGGGCATTTTCCTTCTAGAAAATAATAACAGCACCACTCAAATCATAGTTTCGTCCATTTCTTACCATTTATCTCCTCTCCTTAAACCGCTTGTTGTGTTCATCCTGTCAGTGTATGTTCTTCCCTTTGGGCCCCATTCACCCTGTCACCTCCTGGGGGACAATGCGATTTTCAGAAATGCCAACCCGAATATGGGATTGTGCTCCCCTCCACTCTTTTCTGATTTCTGATTATGCCATGTCCAAAGGAAGTCACAAAAGCCTGCATCTCCTTGTATGCTCATCCCTTTATTGACCCCTCACCACGGGCTGGGTTAGGGGCTGGGCTCCCAAAGGAAAAGGAAATAGAAGGGCCCCAACTCTGCCAGCACAGGTGACCCTCAGATCATCCACCAGTTACCGGCACTGTTACCAGTAAAAAGATGCAAAATGTTAGTTACCAAATTCTGTTCTCTTTTTGTGACATTTTCTAGAGGAATCACACACTGCAGGTCTACCAAAAGATTAAGACATGCTTATCTGTGAGCATATTCATACCCCTCTCAGTTGGAAGCTATTCCCTGGGTTTCCTGCCACCCATGACCCTTAGGTTATTACCCTCGGGGCACTTTTTCCCCCTAAAGACTGGCCTCTGGGGTGACTGTCACTTGGCTTCATTCCTTTAGAAATGGAAAAGGCAGAACAGGTGTCACCCCTGTCAAGTGTCCCCATTTGCATGTCCCAAGGCCCCCTTTGGCTCCTTGGTCTCCTAACAGCTTCACCTGCATTTCCTAACCTGGTCCACATTTCTCTGTACAAACTGCCCTGTTGGCGTGCTGCAACACCTAGCTCTTCTTGCCAGGCGGTCCTCATTTAATTTAGATTAAAGGCCAGTTTTTAGTGGGATTCAGGGGAGATAGGAATGAATATTGGCTAAGAAAGATGCAGCTTGAAAGCACTAATTCTGATTATTGTTTCTAGATTTTTGATGCAGTTGGGCAATCAAAATTTGTTCTAAAGAACCTTCAGAATTACACAGACCACCCAAATTTGGTAGGTAGAAGAAATATTCCCCCAAATCCTGCACTTTTCAGCACAGGGATGAGACCAGCTGCAGAGTATCCCAGATGCCTCCCACTGCCACCAGCTTCTGGTAGTGTGCTTGCTCCTAGGATGTGGCAGATCTCCCTGGGACACAGAGCTATAGGCAGTGCTGAGGGCGGAGGTGGGGGGTG